GCCGGTCACGAAAAAAAGACAAAAAGGAAAAAAAAAATCAGAATTTCAGATTGGGTTTTGTGTTTTTGTAGCACTAAACTATTAGTTCGTATATTTTTCTGAACATATTCTCTGTATAGTTATTCATTTACTAAAAGTCCACTACTACAGAATTTCCATACCTTATTTTTCAGTGCAAATTGGGAATCTTCATTCAAGGTCTTTCATTTATTCAGTATGTATGAGTATATATTTAATATTTCTAATTCACATTTCCACTACATTCTAACTTGTCCTTAAGATCTATGTACTTTTAGCCAACAATATGTGGTCTGTATTTTGGTTTACAGTTCTCATTGGAAGAATCTGGTTTTTCTTTCCTAAGATCAACTTATCTTTAAAGGGGGGTGGGGGGCAGTGCAGAAAGTTCTTACTTTTGTGCTTTCTGGATCTGTTTTCTCTCTCTGTCTCTCTCTTTTTTTTTTTTTTGGCGGCTGGCCGGTAAGGGATCAGAACCCGTGACCTTGGTTTTATAAGGCTGGGTGCTAAGCAACTGAGCTAACCAGCCAGCCCAATGTGAGGAAATTGCCAGTGTTTAACACTAAAGTTTGCCCACTCTCACCCTTTCCAAGAAAAGTAAGTAAAAAGTTGTCTTAACAAAAATGAAGAAAATAGGAACATAAATTATTGGCTTTAATCTTGGTTATTTCTACAGGATAGGGCAGGGGAAGCACAGATAGGTTAAAAAATTGTAATGTCATGAACTGGGGGAAATTTAATATAGAACTGACATGCACTTCTAATAGACTCGTTCATTTTCTACAGTTATGGCATCTTTCAAAGAATAGAAAGGAGTTAAACTGAGCAGTTAAGCATATAAAATTAGAAATTTCAAAGCAAATAGTAACTTCCAGAAATTCTGCAGCAGCATCAGTCAAGGCCACAACCAAATAGAGCTTCCAGTCTTCATGCAAGGAAAGACTGTTTGCTTAGTGCAGATGTTGACTTTGTCCTCTCTAGTTGATTTGTGCAGTGTGTTTACAAGGAGTGAATAAATACACTAATGGGAGGGAAATAGCCTTTTTCTTTTTGTTATCTGTTTTTTTAAAAATTAAGTAAAAATTTAATCAAAGGTAGGACATATATTTATTTAAAAAGTCAGAATTCTGTAATTTAATCATGTTTTAATAGGACGTAGATTTGCAGTGAATAATGATTGGTAGTATAATTGCATTCTGTCAAATTACACCAGTACCTTGAGTTCCTTCACAGTTAAGCCTTTCAAAAGATGATTCCTCAGCTGAAGATGTAGTTCAGGAAAGGAAGTTTTAGAACATTTTAGACACAGTTGGTCATATTTATACTAATGGCTTTGTTCCTCATCCAAGTGCTAATGACATTTTAGTCACGACAGTCAAAACTGTTATAGCTGCTTGTCCTTGGCATTAAGTAGCAAGAATTGTTAACATTTTGTTTGGTTTTGGTGGCTGGCCAGTACAGGAATTGACCTTCGTGTTATCAGCACTATGTTCTTACTAATTGAGCTAATCGGCCAACCTCTGTTGATGTTTTTTGCACAACAGCATCTGTCCTTTTGAAAAGGGGTTCACGGGCCACCCATGGCTCACTTGGGAGAGAGTGATGCTGATAAGACCAAGGCCACGGGTTCTGATCCCTATATAGGGATGGCCAGTTCGCTCACTTGGGAGAGCATGGTGCTGACAACACCAAGTTAAGGGTTAAGATCCCCTTCCCAGTCATCTTTTTAGAGAGAAGAAAAAGAAAAAGGTAGTTCATTTGTGGCCTGAGATTCCACTCTTCCTCAGCTACCACATCCAGCCCATGGCCAAGCCAGGCTTATTCTGAGTAGCTCATGAAATGGCTCATTTGTCTTCTCCCTTGAAGTCCCTCTCTTTGGTCTGGACCACCAGGGTGGTTCCTGGCACACAGCAGCAGCTTGCTCTGCCTCCTGTCCCAGTTTTCCTCAGTCCTCTTGCCACACTGCAGTCAGAGGCTTCTGAAAAAAAAATTTTTTAAGGTAATATATTATACATATATGGGGGGGGTGTTCTTCTTAAATCTAATGCTTTCTTGGCAACTTAAAATCTTCTGAGGCTTCCCAAGTAGGATTGAGTCCCATGTCTTTAATAAGAAGAGATGATATCTTCAAACTTCCCTCTGCCCCCTTATTTCTTTAAGTTATTCTGGGCTTCTTTCTGTCCTGGGCCTCCCCATGTGCTGTTGTTTTTGTCCCCATTCCCTCACCCCCAAGTCCTGTCCCTTCCCCACCCCAATCCTCATAAGTCTTTTTTTTTGGTGGCTGGCTGGTACAGGGGTCGGAACCCTTGACCTTGGTGCAACAAGGCAGTGCTCTTACCAGCTGAACTAACTGGCCAGTTCAGTAAGTCTTAACATACTTGCAGCCGCCTCTGACCGCCCCTTGAGATTAGGTTAGATCTTTTGCCGTACATTTCCAGAACACCTTTAATAACATCTATAATTTTATATAATCATTGCAGTTTTCGTTTTTTAATTCAATGGCTGCATACACTCCATGAGGTCTTGTCCATTGCATTGTCTTTAGCACCTAGTACATTTCCTGGCATAGCACACAATTAGTATAAATTGAAATAGAATTAATGCTTTCAATAGTTTGGTGATGGAGTTGGTAGTTTTACATCCATTTTACAGGTGAGAAAACTGAGACATAAAGAAGTTGAAACTTGTCCAAAAATTATAGCCAGTAAGTGAGAGAGTCTCATCTAGGCTTCTGACTCCCACCAGTCTTTTTTTTTTTTTTTTTAATTGCGTTTACTTATTAATATTAATTTTTTACATTCTCTGATGTTGCAGAGCAGTTGGAGGGGTGGGGGAGAGGGAAAGGGAGAAGGAAATAAGGTGGGGGGAGGATAAAGGAGGAGGAGTGGGGTTGAGGCCTGTGGCACCCCCCTCATTCCTGCAGGGGAGACCAGGGGGCTTCCAGCAGTGTCTTGGTCATTGCTTGGCTGGGTGCAGATGTCAGGGGAGTGTGGCCGAAACCCTTGTCCCCCCACCGCTCCGGCTGGGGAGAGCCTGGGGCTCTTCCTGAGGCAGCTCAGTGCCGTCTCCCAATCTTAGGCTCCTGCTCATACAGGTTTATTTTGACATTCTAAGCTTTTGACAAAATATATGTCCAATGAGTCATTTCTGTTTAGAAAGCCTTTCAGGAGTTGGAAGTTACCTCCTGGTGATGTAATGTTTGACTCTGAGGTCTTTGGGGTGAGGAGTTCCAACTTTTGTTAAGCCTTTAATAATTTTATGAGTGAAACAAGTATTGGCCAGACTGGATGGGTCTGTAATCTGCCCTTGTTGAGAGGTTTTAATCTTAAGCTAAGTGAGGGAAAATAGGAAAGCGCTTAACTTCTTTATGGTGTTAATTTACAAATTTATAATAGTTGAGATTGAACAAAATCTTACCAATCAGAACATTGATGTATCATTATGACCTTGGTAAACCAATGAAACTAACAGAAGACTGCAGAGAGATGGACTCATTAAGGACAGCATTTGGGGAATTTAACTCAGAGTGCCAGGGACTTTGGCTCTCAAGAAGCCCCTAAAGTTGTCCTGTGAATATTGTAAAATTTGGAGATTTTAGCGGTGCAGCAATCTTGATTTTTAGGTTATATTCCCTTGAAAAAATTTCAAGTGATTGGGAGACCTTCAGCCACTACTCTGACCTCTGCCTGATGGCAGGCTGGTGATATTAGTATTAGTCTGTACCCTTTACAAGTTGTGCAGGTGGTGCTCCTGTCTCTGGAGTATTTCTACATGGTTCTCTGCTTGGGAAGTTTACTCCATCACCTCTGAGTCATTAATTAATATGTCTGAAGTAAATTGTGCTACTCCTGCTTTAAAAGCTTATGGTGATGTGGGAGGGTTGGTAGGGGGGAGGGGGCAAACGAATACAGATGAATTAATGTGAGAACAGTTATGTGTGGTGGTTTATTGACTAAGGACTCTCTATTAAGAGAACAGTCATTTATGATTACCAGAGGGAAGGCTTTAAGAAAGTGGTGGGATTTTGAGCTGTGCCACTTAGAGGCAGCAAAATAAGTTACTTATGGAAGTAACAGTGTAAGTTGCAGAGAAAAGCTATGTTTGTATATTAGTACTAATCAAAATACTTTTTGAGGATAGGACTTAAGATTCTTGGATGAAAGGCTTCTACAAATGTTCACAGAGGAGACTTTTTTTTTTCCTTTTTGTCTTTTTTACTGACCGGCAACAGGATCGCAACCCTCGGTGTTGCGCCCGCACCGCACTCAGCCAGTGAGTGGGAACCGGTCTCCACATGGGATCTGAACCCTCGGCGGGAGCGCCGCCACACTCCCAAGCGGCGCACTCTCCAGTGCGCCACCGGGCCGGCCCACAGAGGAGACTTTTTAAGTTTTAAAATGTTGTTCCTCTTGAACCTTGTACTTATTTAACAACTATTTCTTGACTGTTAGTGCAGGTATCTAAACAAAACGTGAGGGCTGGCCCGTGGCTCACTTGGGAGAGAGCGGTGCTGATAACACCAAGGCCACAGATTCGGATCCCTATATAGGGATGGCCGGTTAGTTCACTTGGGAGAGTGTGGTGCTGACAACACCAAGTCAAGGGTTAAGATCCCCTTACCAAAGGTCATCTTTTAAATAAGTAAATAAATAAATAAACAGAACATGATGGCTCCTGACCCTACCTGTCTGAGAAATTCTTGTTTACTTTAAATTTCAGGAAAAAGGGTTATAGAAACTGATTGTTTTGTTTAATGCTAAGTGTATGGTATATACTTCTTGATTTTTTTCGAGAAATTATTTTAACAGAAGAATGAAAGGATTCATGTTAACTAAGCAGTCTTTTTCCTTCTCTCTAGAGCTGTAGGTAAAACCTGCCTGCTGATCAGTTATACAACCAATGCATTTCCTGGAGAATATATTCCCACTGTGTAAGTATCTTTGGTTAAATCAGTAATTAATTTGTCTGTGATGTTTCTTGGATTCCTTTGACCATTTGTTTTGCTATAAAGCCGTTCTTAATCCTTATATGTACAGATGTTATTTATTTTCCTCTCAAACATTCACTGAAGTCTAATTATAAGATATTTGGGGCTTTTAAAAAATACTTAGTCAATGTAATGTAAAGTGTTTTTTTGTTTTTTTTTTTCCTTTTTGTCTTTTTTCGTGACCGGCAACGGGATCGCAACCCTCGGTGTCGCGCCTGTATCGCGACCGGCAACGGGATCACAACCCTCGGTGTTGCGCCCGCACCGCGCTCAACCAGTGAGCAGACCAGTCTCTATATGGGATCCGAACCCTCGGCGGGAGCGCCGCTGCACTCCCAAGCGCCGCACTCTACCGAGTGCGCCACCGGGCCGGCCCAAGTTTTTTAATACTGATGGAACAAACACAGTTTTCCTAATCAGATTTTTAGACATTCAGGAAACAAAAGAAAGGTAAACTAACTGTGAAGTATAGAGACTGGATAATGTTGTTAAAGAAACCAGAGCCAGACAAAAAGGAGCCAGACCAAAGTTTGATCAGAGACAGTCCTTGTCAATGTAAGAGTTTCACATAAATTTGGCTCTCTGGGAACTGGAATATCAAGTATTCCCTTTGGTTTTATTTGGTGTTTTCTGGTAAGTCATCAGTCAGTTACATGGCACTATTGAGTTACAGAGCTTTGAAGTTGAAGGCGGGGGGGCAGTGTATGGGAGGACAGATTCGGTTATCGAGTTGAGCTGCTTATTCCCTATGGGCAACGGTATTGGGTGGAGATGGAAAAGTGCTTTTCTGATGATGGAGTACCAGGAAACCCCTCGTAGCTTCATACTATTCTGCCCTCTGGCCAAGGTGAGTGCTTGTGTCTGCACGCTGGAGGAGGTACTGCCTCAGTTCCCACCCGTGCTCATCTCCTCAGCACAGCACACACACTTAAGTTCTCTCTGAAGTGTCAGACACACTTTTTTTTAATGTAAGTGGCATCATAGTGTCCATGTTGTCCTGAGTTTATGGTGAGGGTTTTTCTTACCTACATGTGTAGATAGAGCTTAAATCATTAGTGATTAATGACTTTGAAGTATTATGACTGATTTAACTACTGGTCACTTGGGTCTTGGGGAGTTGGGGGGATGTTAGAAATAGTGCTGTCTTCAATGTCATTGCACATGTCTTCGTACATACTTGGTAGATTATTCAAGTGAAATTGTGCCAAGTCAAAAGGGAATGGATGTTTTTAAATTTGGTAGATAATACCAAATTGCCATCCAAAAGCTGTCACTGAGCTGGCTGTGACTGAAACAGCCTCTTACTACACACTGTGGTTAGCTGGGTGGAAAAGTTATCTCACTATTTGCATTTCTGAACACCAGGGAGGTTAAAATCTTTAAATGTTTACTGTCCATTTGTAGTCTCCTGTGAATTGCCCATTGAAATCTTTTGCTTATTATTCTTCCGAAACTTTTTACCGAGGGAACTTTTTTTTTTTTTTT